ACTTTATCATAAAGAGAGAAAACGAGAGAAAACGAGAGAGAAAAAAATCATAGATACTTTTTTCCTCCGCACAAATTAATCAAGTGTGTCCACACGAAATATTGTATCAATTAAAAAATCGATTAACATTTAGATAACTTCTCATAACTTATGCTCTATCGTATGAGTCTTCCTTACAATCGTCCTATCATCCGATCATGACAAACCAGTAACGCAAAAACAAATATTTTGTTGTCCAAAACAACATGTTGCTTGGCGTAGCTCAGGTAGCTTCTATTTTTGTTAATTATACTTGATAATAGTTAGAAAATAGCAGAGGTAATCATTGGTGTTGTCACAAGAAAATTCGAAAGCAATCCATCAAAAATCTTAAGGTAATAATGGTATGTGGGTGATGTATAAGAAGCTACCACGACGCATTTCGACTCTGCTTAGGAGTCTCATCAGATGGCTTAGTATCTATTTAGATTCAGAAAATTTTGAACGAAAATTCAAAACAAATTCAAAATCAATTCGAGAATATTATTCTGTTCTAATTCACGAAGAAGTAGAATTTAGTTTTATCAGGTGGTTTAACCACTGCATAAAATATTAAATTGAAAGGAAATTTTCAAAGAAAAATTCCTGTCTCTTCTAATATCAAAGCAAATATGAGTAGAAAATACTCAAAATAATTAAATGGTTACTCGAAAGTAGAATTTTTAGCGAAAATATATAAAGGAGTGTGAGAAAAATAAACAGCAGTAAATTTCTATAGAAAGAAATTTCAATTTTATTGAAAAATTGAAGAACAGTTAAATGAAATGTTCAGACGTTATTTCTGTTTGTATAAGTTAGAATCTTTAATAGTGTGCCATATTTTATTATATATAGTAGCCTTAATATTAATGGCTCTTTTTGTGATGACTCATCAATAGAGAAAAAGAAAAAGATCACATATGTCTTATTGCTGATAAATAATAAATGAAATAGTTCTTTTTTATCAGTATTCATGATAAAGTATGAAAAATTGATTATTATGAAAGAGAATAATATTTAAAATGATAGAAACTTCTGAGAATCATCTTTATAGACAGAATGTAAGTAGTAAATATATAGACGCTAATGAAAATGAGAAAAAAATCACTTAATGACGAAGTTGAACTTTATCAATGAATCGAATGGTTGAAGGAAAAAAATTAGAATTTATTCCTTGTTTTATCACAAATATTCGATGAGAATTCTGTAGAGCATTATTCCATGAAGATTGTTAAAAGAAAGCAAGAAAAGTAGAAATATACTTTTCGATTTCGACGAAATGATGTGAATTTGCTGGTGAGAATCCACCTTTTATAGTCTCATCCAGAGAGTGAATTGAAAAAGATAGAAAAACAAAAGAATTTATTATTTTCCATTGGATGTTATTCGAAATTGAACATTTGTATTGGACGACAAATGAATTTACTAGAGAGTGATTCAGTGAAATTATGAAAAATGAGAGATAATTGTTTGAGTGATAATGACCAA